TCCTTTAGGATTATAAAACGCCATCTCAGTGTTCAATGTGTCTTTAGTGTTGTAAACGCCATCTCAGTGTTCAATGTATCTTTAGGATTATAAAACGCTATCTCTCAGTTTTCAATATATTTTAGGAATTATAAAACGCCATCTCAGTGTTCAATGTATTTTCAGGATTATAAAACGCCATCTCAGTTTTCAATGTTCCTTAAAGAGTATAAACGCCATCTCAGTTTTCAATATATCTTAGGATTATAAAACGCCATCTCAGTGTTCAATGTATTTTCAGGATTATAAAACGCCATCTCAGTGTTCAATGTTCCTTTAGGATTATAAAACGCCATCTCAGTGTCCAATGTGTCTTTAGGAGTATAAACGACATCTCAGTGTTCAACGTATCTTTAGGATTATAAAACGCCATCTCAGTTTTCAATGTATCTTTAGAAGTTTAAAAGCCATCTCCGTGTTCAATATATCTCTAGGAGTGTAAATGCCATCTCAGTGTTCAATATATCTTTAGTATTATAAAACGCCATCTCAGTATTCAATATATCTTTAGGATTATAAAACGACATCTCAGTTTTCAATGTATCTTTAGGATTATAAAACGCCATCTCAGTGTCCAATGTGTCTTTAGGATTATAAATGCCATCTCAGTGTTCAATGTATCTTTAGGATTATAAAACGCCATCTCAGTTTTCAATGTGTCTTTAGGATTATAAAACGCCGTCTCAGTGTTCAATGTATTTTCAGGATTATAAAACGCCATCTCAGTGTTCAATGTGTCTTTAGGATTATAAATGCCATCTCAGTGTTCAATGTATCTTCAGGATTATAAAACGCCATCTCAGTATTCAATATATCTTTAGGATTATAAAACGACATCTCAGTTTTCAATGTATCTGTAGGATTATAAAACGCCATCTCAGTGCTCAATGTGTCTTTAGGATTATAAATGCCATCTCAGTGTTCAATGTATCTTTAGGATTATAAAACGCCATCTCAGTGTTCAATGTTCCTTTAGGATTAGAAAACGCCATCTCAGTGTTCAATGTGTCTTTAGGATTATAAACGCCATCTCAGTGTTCAATGTATCTTTAGGATTATAAAACGCCATCTCTCAGTTTTCAATATATTTTAGGAATTATAAAACGCCATCTCAATGCTCAATGTATCTTTAGAATTATAAACGCCATCTCAGTGTTCAATGTATTTCCAGGATTATAAAACGCCATCTCAGTGTTCAATGTGTCTTTAGTATTGTAAACGCCATCTCATTGTTCAATGTATCTTTAGGATTATAAAACGCTATCTCTCAGTTTTCAATGTGTCTTTATGATTATAAAACGCCATCTCAGTGTTCAATGTGTCTTTAGGATTATAAAACGCCGTCTCAGTGTTCAATGTATCTTCAGGATTATAAAACGCCATCTCAGTGTTCAATGTGTCTTTAGGATTATAAATGCCATCTCAGTGTTCAATGTATCTTCAGGATTATAAAACGCCATCTCAGTGTTCAATGTTCCTTTAGGATTAGAAAACGCCATCTCAGTGTTCAATGTGTCTTTAGGATTATAAACGCCATCTCAGTGTTCAATGTATCTTTAGGATTATAAAACGCCATCTCTCAGTTTTCAATATATTTTAGGAATTATAAAACGCCATCTCAATGCTCAATGTATCTTTAGTATTGTAAACGCCATCTCAGTGTTCAATGTATTTTCAGGATTATAAAACGCCATCTCAGTGTTCAATGTGTCTTTAGTATTGTAAACGCCATCTCAGTGTTCAATATATCTTTAGGATTATAAAACGCTATCTCTCAGTTTTCAATGTGTCTTTATGATTATAAAACGCCATCTCAGTGTTCAATGTATATTCAAGATTGTAAAACGCCATCTCAGTGTTCAATGTGTCTAAGGAGTATCAATGCCATCTCAGTGTTCAATGTATCTTCAGTATTGTAAACGCCATCTCAGTGTTCAACGTATCTTTAGGATTATAAAACGCCATCTCAGTTTTCAATGTATCTTTAGGAGTGTAAATGCCATCTCAATGTTCAATGTATCTTCAGGATTGTAAAACGCCATCTCAGTGTTCAATGTGTCTTTGGGAGTATAAATGCCATCTCAGTGTTCAATGTGTCTTTAGGAGTATAAATGCCATCTCAGTGTTCAACGTATCTTTAGGAGTATAAACGATATCTCAGTTTTCAATGTTCCTTTAGAATTATAAAACGTCATCTCAGTGTTCAACGTGTCTTTAGGTGTATAAACGCCATTTCAGTGTTTAACGTATCTTTAGGATTATAAAACGTCATCTCAGTGTTCAATGTGTCTTTAGGTGTATAAACGCCATTTCAGTGTTCAACGTATCTTTAGGATTATAAAACGCCAACGTATCTTTAGGATTATAAAACGCCATCTCAGTGTTCAACGTATCTTTAGGATTATAAAACGCCATCTCAGTGTTCAATGTGTCTTTAGGAGTATAAATGCCATCTCAGTGTTCAACGTATCTTTAGGAGTATAAACGATATCTCAGTTTTCAATGTTCCTTTAGGATTATAAAACGTCATCTCAGTGTTCAACGTGTCTTTAGGTGTATAAACGCCATTTCAGTGTTTAACGTATCTTTAGGATTATAAAACGTCATCTCAGTGTTCAATGTGTCTTTAGGTGTATAAACGCCATTTCAGTGTTCAACGTATCTTTAGGATTATAAAACGCCATCTCAGTGTTCAACGTATCTTTAGGATTATAAAACGCCATCTCAGTGTTCAACGTATCTTTAGGATTATAAAACGCCATCTCAGTGTTCAACGTATCTTTAGGATTATAAAATGCCATTTCAGTGTTCAATGTATCTTTAGGAGTATAAACGCCATCTCAGTGTTCAATGTATCTTTAGGATTATAAAACGCCATCTCAGTGTTCAACGTATCTTTAGGATTATAAAACGCCATCTCAGTGTTCAACGTATCTTTAGGATTATAAAACGCCATCTCAGTGTTCAACGTATCTTTAGGATTATAAAATGCCATCTCAGTGTTCAATGTATCTTTAGGAGTATAAACGCCATCTCAGTGTTCAATGTATCTTTAGGATTATAAAATGCCATCTCAGTGTTCAATGTATCTTCAGGATTATAAAATGCCATCGCAGTGTTCAATGTATCTTTAGGATTATAAAACGCCATCTCAGTGTTCAATGTATCTTTAGGAGTATAAACGCCATCTCAATGTTCAATCTATCTTTAGGATTATAAAACGACATCTCAGTGTTCAATGAAATAGACGTCCATCATGGTAAAGTGCCATACCTCTTTTAATTAAGAACAACTAAAGCATCGGTCTGGTGAATCAACTAAAGCCTCGGTCTGGTGAATCAACTACAGCCTCGGTCTGGTGAATCAACTACAGCCTCGGTCTGGTGAATGGTTAATGGCTTTCAATCCATGATAACTGAATTAGATTGCTCTCATTTTTGACCCTACATTATGAAACAAAATTTTATTTTAACCAAAAATATATTCAGAAGTCGATTCTTAAAAGCTTATTTGTGGGAGCGCTAGATGGAGAGCTCCTACTGATAGCATAATATATATCTACCGTGTTGAAAATGAAATAAAAAATATTCGGTATGAATCCGCTAGAAACGTAACAGGCCATCCAATTTAAAAAGAAATCATTGATTAAGTAAAGAATTAATCGGAGATCCTTTTAACAGCGAAGAATGTTCAGTGAAAAGTTACTTATTTTAATATCAAGGGTGAAAATTATTCCTCTTCTCCCCCTCAAAGTGATCGGATATGGCTACCGCTTAAGTCTTATTTTGTGTTCTTTTACACCCAACGTCTGCAATTTATGGAGTAACTTGCCTCTCGACAGAGGAATTTATACAGTTTAAACATTCTATTTAAAATGGCCAGAAGTGACAAAGATTTTAAAGAATGTGGATAAAAGATAGACATAGGAGAGAGATCGAGATCAAACAATTTCATAAAGGTACAAGTAATATGATTTTTATGAATCAAAGTTTCCGTTGGTCTTTATAAATCTGCGTTCACTTAATGATGATTTATTAAGAGTTAAGATTGTTGATATCAATGCCTGCGGATCTTTGTCTTTTTGTAACTTTTACGAAAGTTACGTGTTAGGGTAAGGCTTAGCAAAGATATGTGTTAGGGTTGGGCTTAGCAAAGTAACGTATTAGGGTTAGGCCTGGCAAAGTGATGTCTTATGGTTTCGCTAAGCAAAGTTATGTGTTAGGGATAGGCTTAGCAATGTTAAAGAGAGAGAGAGAGAGAGAGAGAGAGAGAGAGAGAGAGAGAGAGAGAGAGAGAGAGAGAGAGAGATTGTTTCTATGACAATGTTAAAATAACATATTGTACCAAGTGGGGTTTGGTTACTTGCATTGGGTCAATTTTTCTTCATATTTGGTAGTGTTGGGTAAATCGACGTTTGTATTAAATAGCATCGGGTAAAACGCCACACCATGTTGAGATACTCACAAAAACACATAATCTATGAACACCCTCAAACGCCTTTAACACAAAAATATACAATGCTATTTATATAATAACAACTGTCTTTGTTCTATTTCCGATTATTTTTTTTATCGAAGTTGACGTTTTAATCCTTCTTATACTTAAATTTTTTTTTCAAGATCAATAACCGAAGTTCAATTTATCTATTTATGCTTTATATCAATTTATAACAATCTTTTGTTATAATGAAAACAAAAAAATAAACTCTTTAAATCTTTGATGAAAAACATCTCAATGTGGTGTTATATCAGAATAGTTACAAATTCCCCAGACACTATATACAGGTAAGGCTGTTTGCTTTAACTAGGGCCGTTTTCACTACGGTCGTTTTTGCTGTAAGGCCGTTTCAGTCGTACACCGACTGGATTTTTATCCGCGTTTTACACTGCACCGTATAGAAATATAACCTTTGACCCCAACAGGAAGTGATCACAACAGCTGGTAAACAAAGGTGATGACAGATGGTTGATAATAGGTTCCAGCGCTAGCGTCTACAATATTTCAGGCCAGGATCATGAAGGTAAGGACTTCATCGGTTGTCGTACTACCTCCATGTCCAGTTGGCCTTGTGAAACTTGAGGACGATGTATTTGGCTTATAAATTATCCGTTGATCATGTTTATATGGACAAATGTGGATTTCAGTCGGAAACTTGTATAACAGTATAGTATACAAGTATTATGTGTAGTGCAGAGTGAAACTTCATTTTGTTTCATTTTACGGATTAAGAAATATTTAACCATAGTGTTTTTCTTAACAGCGATAACTTGTGAACTAAAGTTAATAAAAACTGTAATATTAATTTACATGCCATAATTAGTAAACAATCCCGAGTTAACAGCTCTAATAGGGATATTCTAAATCTCTTATCAGCTTAGAATCTCCAGCATGGTGGACTTTTATTGACTGAGAGACTTAGATTTAGGTATTCATCATTTAGTAAGCCTTCTACAGTACTTGAATTACTGTTTTAAACCATTTATTAAAAATAAAAAAGTTCCCACAATTTTAAAAATCACATTCGAAAATAGGTCCTATGTTTAAAACGCTAATTGCAAACGTCTTAAATCAACAATCACTATCAAATGGTTGGGGATATAATTTCATTGGCTGTGGTTCTCAGTAGGTTTGTATTAATTCCTGTGAAAATAATTTCTTATAGTTTAATTTTCAATGAGATTGATAGCACAATTTTAAAGTGGTCTGGTTTGGAAATGCCACCTGCCTTTCACTTATGTTGGTAGATGTCTGGATTTCAAATACCCGAATAGATTTGAAAAGTTATGAGGTTCACCTGCCACACCACATGGTTTTTCCCTGGGTACTAATTTGCTTTCCTCCAACAATAAGACCCATTATGTGTTTTCATCTGACCAAAATGAGTGATTAATGTAACCTGATAGCTTGGTATTGTTGTAAAACAAATATAATTGGTATAACCAATATTACAGTGCTTATTTATATGGAAGCTGGTAACAGTGTAGGTCCAATTCATTCCAGGTGTTTCTGTTACAATATGTAGGCTCTATTTATTTTCATATTGATAGAGGGTCTGACTCCTGTTGAAAAATTAAACAGGGCAGTTCATGCTGACATGAATCAAAGATTTAGATATTTTCAAACATTATACTTATATAGAATATTCCTTATTTATCATACTTATATAACATATACCTTATTTATCATACCTATATAACATATACCTTATTTATCATACCTATATAACATATACCTTATTTATCATACCTATTATAACATACCTTATTTATCATACCTATTATAACATACCTTATCTATCATACATATATAACATATACCTTATTTATCATACCTATATAACATATACCTTATTTATCATACCTATTTAACATATACCTTATTTATCATATCTATATAACATATACCTTATTTATCATACCTATATAACATATACCTTATCTATCATACCTATATAACATATACCTTATTTATCATACTTATATAACATAAACCTTATTTATCATACTTATATAACATATACCTTATTTATCATACCTATATAACATACCTTATTTGTCATACTTATATAACATACCTTATTCATCATACTTATATAACATATATAATGTACCTTACCATTCATTAAAATTTTTACAAACAAGTTATATCTAAATTTTGTTAGTTTAAGTATATAAACATGCTTTTATAATCAAAGGTAATGCCCCTGTGGCTTATCATGGAATAGATAAATCACTTTAAGGTGGGTAATGTTCAAGAGGTGTTGCTGTTTATACCTCCTGGCTTTTTCAACTAGACAAAGGACATTTTTGACAGAAGTCTGTAGATCAGATACTATTGTGAGTTGATAAGACGATTTGTGAGTAATATTTCCCTGTGGCACATCCGTTTTGTCAGTCAGGTTGGATAAAAGATATTACCTAATATTTACGTCAGTGAGTACATGTTCAGATAAAATCATAGATTTTGAATTTACTGACAGAGTATATGTAACATATTGGATTAGATTGCTTTGATACTGTCACAACAAGCTGATTGCTAGTATATAAAAATCTTAAAAGATGTGTAAATACTATATGGCTAGAAAGTTTTTTTTTCTTTTTTTGTGAAAAGAATATAACTTGACACCCAAGTCACTAATTAAGAATAATAAAGGGACTATATAGTATTAAGTACCAAGTCCACTTGGTCAAAACAACAAAGTATTTGACAGGTTCTGTACAATCAGACAGCCATAGTCATTTATCATGTGTAAATGATCCTGTGGTGAAGGGTGGGCCAGAAATTTCACTGAAGCATGTAACATATACAGTGGAAAAATTGATAAACAAAACTGCTATGTCATATGTAACTGTGACTCATGCTGAGTAGGGTTGATTGAACATGTACGCATATACAGTTCGCAGCTGAGTACTATCACAATATATGACCAGTGCAGTAAAGTATTATAACTGATCATATTCTTAAAGGTTGTGAAATATTTTGGATTTTAAAAAAATATCTCCACAAAGCATGATTTAAAATCTTAGATATTTCACAATTCTACATGGCTGTGATTATTTTAACTGTACAGAATAACGAGTACCAGTGGTATTTCTATCCATGGGACAGAAATGATGGCTGTCTTGTTTTTTCAAGTCATGGTTGAGAGGTAGGATTGAAAAAACTTTTAAATTCAAAGTGTTTTCATATATTTTTTGTTCTTGTGGTAAATGTTTACAGAGTGGTCAGTTATTATCTTACAGCTGGCTTGATGATCTGTTACAAGAAGTTCTGTTGATCTGATATTGCACTTGAGAGAATATTCAAGATCATCATAAATATCTTTAAAGATTGTTTACCAAATTGGAGTTCAGAGATCAGAATTTCAATCTGGGTTTGGTCTCATTCTCCTCGTGGTTTTTTGCTGCTGTAATTACTATTATTTGTTTAGATTGTGCAAAATATATCTAAGCATATTCAAAATTTAATAAGATTAACAGCAGGTGGGCTTATTACAAAAACTTGATGTTATTACATAGATATGCTCAGCATAAATGTATTTTGCCTGTTTTGTTATAACTTAGTATGAAATTGTGTTTAAACAATATCTACACTAGTATGTGTAATTCTGTATCTTCTGGGTTTTTTCTTTTAATCTATATTCATAATGACTGGCATTTAATGCCTGTATATACCAGTAAAACACAAGATATCATTTCCAGTAAAAAGAAATCCAATTTGATAGTTGTCAGCAGATACTTTTATAGCCAACAGTATGTATACACAAACTTATATAAAGCAGCAGATACTTTTATAGCCAACAGTATGTATACACAAACTTATATAAAGCAGCAGATACTTTTATAGCCAACAGTATGTATACACAAACTTATATAAAGCACTGCTTCTTCATTTTGATGTTAATTTACCAAATTTGAGCCTTGTTTAAAAAAAAATCACTGAGACTTTCCTATTGTGATGTCACAATCTTCATCTTTTCTCAATTCTTTCCCAAAAGAGAACTGATTTGATTATTGTTCTTTGTATTTTGAATTTATGGGTGACACTGTGGTAATTTACCCCCCTTCGCCTAGGCGTATGGGTGACACTGTGGTAATTTACCCCCCTTCACCTAGGCGTATGGGTGACACTGTGGTAATTTTCCCCCCTTCGCCTAGGCGTATGGGTGACACTGTGGTAATTTACCCCCCTTCGCCTAGGCATAAGGGTGACACTGTGGTAATTTACCCCCCTTCGCCTAGGCGTATGGGAGACACTGTGGTAATTTACCCCCCTTCGCCTAGGCGTATGGGTGACACTGTGGTAATTTACCCCCCTTCGCCTAGGCGTATGGGTGACACTGTGGTAATTTACCCCCCTTCGCCTAGGCGTATGGGTGACACTGTGGTAATTTACCCCTCCTTTGCCTAGGCGTATGGGTGACACTGTGGTAATTTACCCCCCTTCGCCTAGGCGTATGGGTGACACTGTGGTAATTTAGGTAATTTACCCCCCTTCGCCTAGGCGTATGGGTGACACTGTGGTAATTTACCCCCCTTCGCCTAGGCGTATGGGTGACACTGTGGTAATTTACCCCCCCTTTGCCTAGGCGTATGGGTGACACTGTGGTAATTTACCCCCCTTCGCCTAGGCGTATGGGTGACACTGTGGTAATTTAGGTAATTTACCCCCCTTCGCCTAGGCGTATGGGTGACACTGTGGTAATTTACCCCCCTTCGCCTAGGCGTATGGGTGACACTGTGGTAATTTACCCCCCTTCGCCTAGGCGTATGGGTGACACTGTGGTAATTTTTACCCCCCTTCGCCTAGGCGTATGGGTGACACTGTGGTAATTTACCCCCCTTCGCCTAGGCGTATGGGTGACACTGTGGTAATTTACCCCCCTTCGCCTAGGCGTATGGGTGACACTGTGGTAATTTACCCCCCTTCGCCTAGGCGTATGGGTGACACTGTGGTAATTTACCCCCCTTCGCCTAGGCGTATGGGTGACACTGTGGTAATTTACCCCCCTTCGCCTAGGCGTATGGGAGACACTGTGGTAATTTACCCCCCTTCGCCTAGGCGTATGGGTGACACTGTGGTAATTTACCCCCCTTCGCCTAGGCGTATGGGTGACACTGTGGTAATTTACCCCCCTTCGCCTAGGCGTATGGGTGACACTGTGGTAATTTACCCCACATATCCAAAGCGTATGGGTGACACTGTGGTAATTTACCCCCCTTCGCCTAGGCGTATGGGTGACACTGTGGTAATTTACCCCCCTTCGCCTAGGCGTATGGGAGACACTGTGGTAATTTACCCCCCTTCGCCTAGGCGTATGGGTGACACTGTGGTAATTTACCCCCCTTCGCCTAGGCGTATGGGTGACACTGTGGTAATTTACCCCCCTTCGCCTAGGCGTATGGGTGACACTGTGGTAATTTACCCCCCCTTGGCCTAGGCGTATGGGTGACACTGTGGTAATTTACCCCCCTTCGCCTAGGCGTATGGGTGACACTGTGGTAATTTAGGTAATTTACCCCCCTTCGCCTAGGCGTATGAGTGACACTGTGGTAATTTACCCCCTTCGCCTTGGCGTATGGGTGACACTGTGGTAATTTACCCCCCTTCACCTAGGCGTATGGGTGACACTGTGGTAATTTACCCCCCTTCGCCTAGGCGTATGGGTGACACTGTGGTAATTTACCCCCCTTCGGCTAGGCGTATGGGTGACACTGTGGTAATTTACCCCCCTTCGCCTAGGCATATGGGGTTGGATTCCCGGAATGGACGTGAAAAGGTATGGCTCATCTGTCTGACCACATGGGTTTTCCCAAGGTACTACTGTTTCCTTGCACTGTAAGACCTCTCACACGTATTAAACTGGACCAACAAGAGTGATTAATAATCAGCTCAAGGTATATTTCACAATTGTTGTAATATAAATAATGTTTATATGATATATATTTTCAACTTATCTTTAACATAAATATGTTGATTAACAGGATACATTGTAATCTTGCTTAATAACATTCATTAGAAAATGATAATGAGGAAAACTATTGTAAATTCATATTTTCTGACATTTATGAAGCAAAGTATGTTAACTAACTTCAGAGAATATTGTGAAAAAGACACACAAGTGAATCATACATTTTAGTACAAATTTAGAGTTAGATACAGTACAGTCTTACAATGAATTAAACTGCATCATACAGCTGTTTCGTCCTTCTAGGATTCGGCAGTGATGCTACATCAAACAGCTGTTTCATCCTTCTAGGACTCGGCAGTGATGCTACATCATACAGCTGTTTTGTCCTTTTAGGACTCGTCACTGATGCTACATCATAGAGTTGTTTCATCCTTCTAAGACTCGTCAGTGATGCTACATCATACAGCTGTTTCGTCCTTCTAAGACTCGTCAGTGATGCTACATCATACAGCAGTTTCGTCCTTCTAGGACTCGTCACTGATGCTACATCATGCAGTTGTTTCGTTCTTCTAGGGCTCAGAAGTGATGCTACATCATACAGCTGTTTTGTCCTTCTAGGACCTGTCACTGATGCAACATCGTACAGCTGTTTCGTCCTTCTAGGACTTGTTTTTGATGTCAAGGGCCGTAATTGTGGAAATTTAAAGTGACTGAAAGAAAAGTCAAAATTAGTATAAAAAACTCTTAATGTTTGAACAGGGGTTTTAACATGGTGAGAAGCCAGTTGAGTACACAATAAATACATATGGTTTGGCAGAAGTCATTCTCTGCCCCCATCCACTTTCAAGTTTATCGCTATACCGTCACTGACAGAGTAAAACAAAGGACAGTAACTCTGAGAGATCAGAATGTGCAGAAGTACACTGATACACTATCTCATTGTAGCAGATATGTGAAAGATTTGTGTATTGTTGACTAAATAAATACTTTATTTATTTTACAACATTTGTGAAACAAGTTATTTTAACTTATACTCATCATTTTTGTTGGCCCGGATGTAAGCACATGAGGGGTCTTGCTGCAGGAGAAAACTGAAGTACCCGGGGGAAAACCCATGTGGTCGGGAAGGTGACCCCTTACCTTTTCATGTCCGGTCCAGGAGTCAAACCCCAGACAGATTGTTGACTGCAGAAGCAGACGACAGCTGTAAACCAAGAATATTGCTAATCTTTGATTTTTGTAATGTGGTGATGATATGTTTTTATTGGTCAATCTGTATTCATTTCTCTTTCTTTGTCAGGTGAATAGTTGTGACTGACGGAGAGAGAGGAAATGGTACTACAAGATACTTTGGGTCACAGCATGCCTGATCAAGTGAAATTTGAGGCAACTGACCATGGTGACAGTGTCCTGGCCGGACTCAAGCATCTTCGAGACAAACAACAACTTTTCGATGTCATCTTGACTGCTCAGAACCAGAAATTTCCTGCGCACAGAGTTGTGTTGGCATCATGTTGCCAATATTTTCGGTATTATTAAGACAGTTATAATTTGGATAGTATTTTTTACATATGAATATTTTAGTAAAATTTCTAATTATCCATATTGATCCTCTTCTGGTCCATAGGGACTTGGAATAACATCCAAATCCCATAAATACTGTTCAGAAATATATCAACTATTCACAGTACACCTCTGTGACTGTGATAGTTGGTAATTGTGTCCCTTTGTTTCAGATGGTTTCTTAAACATTCAGTTTACCCATGTTCAGTTGTAGTTATCCTGTGATAAATTAAACAAATTAGGAAATTAATCCTGAAATATTGTTTAAGTTATAGCTTTATCATGTATTTGTATATCACTGTTAAAAAGATGGGAATAATGTGTGTGGGGAGTGAGAACTTGAGTCAGATGAACTTGCATCCTTAATACTCCAGGAGTTAGAATCACTTTTGCTCTCTACACCACCTGGAACATGTCATGGCACAAGCAAAGTAGTTTGATTGGTTTCAGAAGAAAATACCTGACCAATTACAGGCTGATACTCTCCTTTTGAAGATTACAAAGGAATGACATCCAACTTCACAGCCATTACAATATACTGTTATGCAAATTCAAGATTGTCGAGTCTTCATCTTGTCCACATGTTGTCACAAATGGAACTTTTAATTTTGCTATAACATATCTCAGGGGTGCAGAGAGCGAAAATGATTGTAATCCCTGGAGTATCGAGGATGGTTCCAGGGGTGCAGAGAGCGAAAATGATTGTAATCCCTGGAGTATCGAGGATGGTTCCAGGGGTGCAGAGAGTAAAAGTGATTGTAACCCCTGGAGGATTGAGGATGGTTCCAGAGGTGCAGAGAGTAAAAGTGATTGTAACCCCTGGAATATCGAGGATGGTTCCAGGGGTGCAGAGAGTGAAAGTGATTGTAACCCCTGGAGTATCGAGGATGGTTCCAGGGATGCAGAGAGTGAAAGTGATTGTAACCCCTGGAGTATCGAGGATGGTTCCAGGGGTGCAGAGAGTGAAAATGATTGTAACCCCTGGAGTATCGAGGATGGTTCCAGGGGTGCCGAGAGCAAAAAGTGATTGTAACCCCAGGAGGATTGAGGATGGTTCCAGGGGTGCAGAGAGCGAAAGTGATTGTAACCCCTGGAGTATCGAGGATTGTTCCAGGGGTACAGAGAGCGAAAGTGATTGTAACCCCTGGAGTATCGAGGATGGTTCCAGGGGTGCAGAGAGTAAAAGTGATTGTAACCCCTGGAGGATTGAGGATGGTTCCAGAGGTGCAGAGAGTAAAAGTGATTGTAACCCCTGGAATATCGTGGATGGTTCCAGGGGTGCAGAGAGTGAAAGTGATTGTAACCCCTGGAGTATCGAGGATGGTTCCAGGGGTGCAGAGAGTGAAAGTGATTGTAACCCCTGGAGTATCGAGGATGGTTCCAGGGGTGCAGAGAGTGAAAATGATTGTAACCCCTGGAGTATCGAGGATGGTTCCAGGGGTGCCGAGAGCAAAAAGTGATTGTAACCCCTGGAGGATTGAGGATGGTTCCAGGGGTGCAGAGAGCGAAAGTGATTGTAACCCCTGGAGTATCGAGGATGGTTCCAGGGGTACAGAGAGCGAAAGTGATTGTAACCCCTGGAGTATCGAGGATGGTTCCAGAGGTGCAGAGAGTAAAAGTGATTGTAACCCCTGGAATATCGAGGATGGTTCCAGGGGTGCAGAGAGTGAAAGTGATTGTAACCCCTGGAGTATCGAGGATGGTTCCAGGGGTGCAGAGAGTGAAAGTGATTGTAACCCCTGGAGTATCGAGGATGGTTCCAGGGGTGCCGAGAGCGAACGTGATTGTAACCCCTGGAGTATCGAGGAGATGGTCCAGGGGTGCAGAGAGCGAAAGTGATTGTAACCCCTGGAGTATCAAGGATGGTTCCAGGGGTGCAGAGAGCGAAAGTGATTGTAACCCCTGGAGTATCGAGGACATGTTCCAGGGGTGCAGAGTGTGAAAGTGATTGTAACCCCTGGAGTATCGAGGATATGTTCCAGGGGTGAAGAGAGCGAAAGTGATCGTAAACCCTGGAGTATCAAGGATGGTTCCAGGGGTGCAGAGAGCGAAAGTGATTGTAACCCCTGGAGTATCGAGGACATGTTCCAGGGGTGCAGAGTGTGAACGTGATTGTAACCCCTGGAGTATCAAGGATGGTTCCAGGGGTACAGAGAGCAAAAGTGATTGTAACCCCTGGAGTGTCAAGGATGGTTCCAGGGGTACAGAGAGCAAAAGTGATTGTAACCAATGGAGTATCGAGGACATGTTCCAGGGGTACAGAGAGCGAAAGTGATTGTAACCCCTGGAGTATCAGGGATGGTTCCAGGGGTACAGAGAGCGAAAGTGATTGTAATCCCTGGAGTATCGATGATGGTTCCAGGGATACAGAGAGCGAAAGTGATTGTAACCCCTGGAGTATCGAGGATGGTTCCAGGGGTGCAGAGAGCGAAAATGATCGTTAACCCTGGAGTATCAAAGATGGTTCCAGGGGTGCAGAGAGCGAAAGTGATTGTAACCCCTGGATTATCTAGGACATGTTCCAGGGGTGCAAAGAGTGAAAGTGATTGTAACCCTTGGAGTATTGAGGATGTTTCCAGGGGTACAGAGAGCGAACGTGATTGTAACCCCTGGAGTATCGAGGATATGTTCCAGGGGTGAAGAGAGCGAAAGTGATTGTAAACCCTGGAGTATCAAGGATGGTTCCAGGGGTACAGAGAGCGAAAGTGATTGTAACCCGTGGAGTATCAAGGATGGTTCCAGGGGTACAGAGAGCAACAGTGATTGTAACCAATGGAGTATCGAGGACATGTTCCAGGGGTACAGAGAGCGAAAGTGATTGTAACCCCTGGAGTATCAGGGATGGTTCCAGGGGTACAGAGAGCGAAAGTGATTGTAACCCCTGGAGTATCGATGATGGTTCCAGGGATACAGAGAGCGAAAGTGATTGTAACCCCTGGAGTATCGAGGATGGTTCCAGGGGTGCAGAGAGCGAAAATGATCGTTAACCCTGGAGTATCAAAGATGGTTCTAGGGGTACAGAGAGCGAAAGTGATTGTAACCCCTGGATTATCTAGGACATGTTCCAGGGGTGCAAAGAGTGAAAGTGATTGTAACCCTTGGAGTATTGAGGATGTTTCCAGGGGTACAGAGAGCGAAAGTGATTGTAATCCCTGGAGTATCGAGGATTGTTCCTGGGGCACAGAGAGTGAAAGTGATTGTAACCCCTGGAGTATTGAGGATGGTGTCAGGGGTGCAGAGAGCGAGAGTGATTGTAACCCCTGGAGTATTGAGGATGGTGTCAGGGGTGCAGAGAGCGAGAGTGATTGTAACCCCTGGAGTATTGAGGATGGTGTCAGGGGTGCAGAGAGCGAGAGTGATTGTAACCCCTGGAGTATTGAGGATGGTGTCAGGGGTGCAGAGAGCGAGAGTGATTGTAACCCTTGGAGTATTGAGGATGGTGTCAGGGGTGCAGAGAGCGAGAGTGATTGTAACCCCTGGAGTATTGAGGATGTTTCCAGGGGTACAGAGAGCGAGAGTGATTGTAACCCCTGGAGTATTGAGGATGTTTCCAGGGGTACAGAGAGCGAGAGTGATTGTAACCCCTGGAGTATTGAGGATGTTTCCAGGGGTACAGAGAGCGAGAGTGATTGTAACCCCTGGAGTATTGAGGATGGTGTCAGGGGTGCAGAGAGCGAGAGTGATTGTAACCCTTGGAGTATTGAGGATGGTGTCAGGGGTGCAGAGAGCGAGAGTGATTGTAACCCCTGGAGTATTGAGGATGTTTCCAGGGGTACAGAGAGCGAGAGTGATTGTAACCCCTGGAGTATTGAGGATGTTTCCAGGGGTACAGAGAGCGAGAGTGATTGTAACCCTTGGAGTATTGAGGATGTTTCCAGGGGTACAGAGAGCGAGAGTGATTGTAACCCTTGGAGTATTGAGGATGTTTCCAGGGGTACAGAGAGCGAGAGTGATTGTAACCCTTGGAGTATTGAGGATGTTTCCAGGGGTACAGAGAGCGAGAGTGATTGTAACCCTTGGAGTATTGAGGATGTTTCCAGGGGTACAGAGAGCGAAAGTGATTGTAACCCCTGGAGTATTGAGGATGGTGTCAGGGGTACAGAGAGCGAAAGTGATTGTAACCCCTGGAGTATTGAGGATGGTGTCAGGGGTGCAGAGAGCGAGAGTGATTGTAACCCCTGGAGTATTGAGGATGGTGTCAGGGGTGCAGAGAGCGAGAGTGATTGTAACCCCTGGAGTATTGAGGATGGTGTCAGGGGTGCAGAGAGCGAGAGTGATTGTAACCCCTGGAGTATTGAGGATAGTGAGTATGAAACACCTACTACAGAAGATGTAATTGGTATCAGATTCAATTTATCAATATATCTAATTATAAATGGTATATAGGGTGGTTGTATTTCAGAAGATAAGTACTGATAAAACAAACTTGTATTGTCAGATAATCTCCTGTAATATTATGTTTACATTGTATATAATTGTTCTTTGTTACTCTTCCCCAGGGCGATGTTCACAGATGGTTTGAAAGAATGTCAACAGATGGAGATACAGTTAAATGGTGTGACTGCTACAGGAATTCACAATCTGATAGACTTTGCCTACACTTCCAAGATCCTGCTGAACTTTGGTATTCAATATTTCTTCTTGTCCTTTTCAAAGAGAATGTGTAAAGGGGAATAAACTCCCACAGACAAGTTTTCTGTTGATATAGTACAAAAACAAAATAGGTACATAAGATTTGTAAATATAAATTAACAATTTTATATTCATATATGCAGTTGATTTTGTTACTTTTCAATTTCCATTTTTAAACACATGTTCTTTTTTCCTCTCTGTTTTAATTAGATAACATTGAAGACATCCTGCTATCAGCCAATCATATCCAGATGTTACCAGTGCTCAAAGCCTGCTCCAATTTTCTAAAGGACCACCTCAGTATAGAAAACTGTGCCAACATGGCCAACTGGGCCGATCTGTTTTCTTTGACAGAACTCAAAATTCACATACTCAAATTCATTTGTAGAAACTTCTCAGCTCTCTCGTGTTCATCAGAGTTTTTCCAATTTCCTGCATCTCTTTTACAAAATGTGTTGTTTTGTAACTACCCAATAGATTGCTCAGAGGGTGATTTACTTTCGGCAGTGTTGACCTGGGTTTATCATCAACCCGACATACGATTAAACCAGGTTAGTCCTGTCCTTAACGGTGTTCATTGGGAGAATGTTACTAATAAGGAAATTGACAGACTCTCTCAAAATGAAACCTTTGAGAAGCTGGTGGAGTTAAGTACACCTTTGAAACATGCTTTTTCTAGGGAATGTGCCAATGAAGTTTCATGCCTACAAAACTCAGGTTTACTAAACACAAGAGGCTACAAGAAAGCTGTTGTATGTGTGGGTGGATTTAGTCCGAGAAGTGGTATGACCAATGACTTGAGATATTGTATAGTAGGTTCACGAACATGGAAGACCCTTACACAAATACCCCATGTTCAGCAGTGTAACTTTGGTCATGTTGTTATGAAGAACAATCTCTATGTTGTCGGTGGCTGTTTCAATGACAACATGCAGGAAATAATCCATAATTATGGTTTTAAATATGATCCTGCAACACAAAGCTGGAGTTCCATTGCTCCAATGAGGACAGAACGTTGTCGGTTTTTTCTAGCTGAAGCCAGAGGAAAACTTTATGCAATTGGTGGTGACCCTTCAGCAAGCAATCCACTTGCGGAAGCTGCAGCCCCTTGTGAGGTGTTTGATCCTGAGGAGAACATCTGGACTCCCATGTCGTCGATGCCAAAAAATCGATCCCAGCATGCTGGAATAACCATTGGGGATAATGTTTATGTCTCCGGAGGACTGCAAGACATCGATGAAGACACCTTCTCTGACTTCTACAAGTATGACACCAAGTCTGACGTGTGGACAATTCTGCCTCCGATGTTGATGCCACGAGCTGATCACACACTTTTTTTATATCATGGTCAAATATACGTGATTGGTGGGTGGTATGAAGATCTGACCAATCAGCAGCGACGCATGGCAGCAAATATTGACCGCTTCATTGAAAACGAGAATCGTTGGGAGACGATAGGTGTTGTACCCAATCCTCGTCTGTATGCAACTTACTCTATGTTTGAAGGCCGCCTATATGTGATTGGTGGCTGGATCAATGGAGATTATATGAGGAAGGCACTTACAATTCAGACCTATGACCTGGTGACCCATAACTGGACAGAAGAGGATAGTCGGCAGATTGAGCTGTGGGAACACAGTGTGTGTACAATGTACCTACCAGACTGTGATCTTACATAGTTGGTCTCTGTGGGGTTTCCTCGGTTGTCATTTTTTTGTGGGTGTTTTCTAGGTAGCCATTCCTTTGTTGGTCTCTGTGGGGTTTCCTAGATAGCCATTCCTTTGTTGGTCTCTGTGGGGTTTCCTAGGTAGCCATTCCTTTGTTGGTCTCTGTGGGCTTTCCTAAATAGCCATTCCTTTGTTGGTCGTTGTGGGGCTTCCTAGGTAGCCATTCCTATGTTGATCTCTGTGGGGTTTCCTAGGTAGCCATTTCTTTGTTGGTCTCTGTGGGGTTTCCCAGATAGCCATTCCTTTGTTGGTCCTTTGTTGGTCTCTGTGGGGTTTCCTAGGTAGCCATTCCTTTGTTGGTCTCTGTGGGGTTTCCTAGGTAGCCATTCCTTTGTTGGTCTCTGTGAGGTTTCCTAGGTAGCCATTCCTTTGTTGGTCTCTGTGGGGTTTCCTAGGTAGCCATTCCTTTGTTGGTCTCTGTGGGGTTTCCTAGGTAGCCATTCCTTTGTTGGTCTCTGTGGGGTTTCCTAGGTAGCCATTCCTTTGTTGGTCTCTGTGGGGTTTCCGAGGTAGCCATCCCTTTGTTGGTCTCTGTGGGGTTTCCTAGGTAGCCATTCCTTTGTTGGTCTCTGTGGGGTTTCCTAGGTAGCCATTCCTTTGTTGACATTCCTGAGATGTTCCTTATTTGGTGCCTGTTATTGTCCAAGCTCTTTACTTATAAGTTATCTATTTCAAGCTAAACTTTTGTTTCAAAGTTAACAATGATGAAAACTCTTTAATTTGTATTTCGTATTTAAAAAAACCCAAGTAATGCCAGCTGACAATGATCTTGCCAGAAGCAGGAAGAGGTATTTATGTCGAGGGTGACCTTAGGTCATATTAACCTCTGAACCTGTTAATCTTTGCTTAACCTTATAATGCCTTATCATGTAAGATGATCATAGTTAGGGTTTTCATGTAGTATCTGTTGCCAATGCAACAAGAAGAATTTGTTGACTAAAAATGGGGTTTGTTTATCTTTTATTAGGTCGCCTGAGCAGAACGCTCATGGTGACCTATTGCCATCATGATTTGTCTGTCGTTGTGTGCCGTGCGTCGTGTGTTGTTAACTTTTCACATATTCCACTTCTTCTCAAGAACCACTGAATGGATTTTGACCAAACTTGGCACAAAGCATCCCCATTGGAAGCCGCTTCAAGTTTGCGAAGAAAAAGGGCGTGGCACCAATAGGGGAAAAAGGGGATAAAATTAGGTAAATCTTTAAAAATCTTCTTCTCATGAACCGACAGTCAGATTAAATTTATATTTGATATTTAGGGTCCTAATGGCAAGGTCTACAAAGTTTGCGAATGAAAAAAAAAATCGGGTCAAAAACGGCCCCAATAGGGGACGCTCAAAAGGGTCTAAAAGTCAACTTTGACCGATTTCAACCAAATTTGGTAGACAGTATCCCTTAGTGAAGGACATATGAAATTATGTTGAAAAAAGTGATAATGTCCCCTTTGGGGCCCATAAGGGGTGTAAAAGGGGCCATATGAAAAAAACCTTCATTAAATGACTACTTCTCAAGAACCAGTTGATGGATATTGACCAAACTTGGCACAAAGCATCTGCTTGGGAAGCCGCTTCAAGTTTGTGAAGAAAAAAGGGCGTGGCCCCAATAGGGGCCCCAGGAGGGGGGAAAAGGGGAAACTTGATACGAATGTTCTACACAAGGTCCTGGCAAGTGTTTTAATTTTTTGGGGCGAATCAAAATCCAAGATGGCCATCCTGGCCTCTGTTTGGCTAAGACATTATGGACTTCCTCTCAAGAACCATTGGGTGGGTCATGTTCAAACTTGGTACAGATGTTTTTATACATGGTCCTGCACAAGTGTTGTTACATTTTTGAAACATTTTAAAATCCCCAGATTATTGACATATATTCCTCAGGTGACCGTGAAGGCCCCTTGGGCCCTCTTGTTTTTCTCTTGATCCAGAACTAAGTCAATGTCCTCATTAGATTCACACTTACCCTATAGTATCATAACATAGTGTTCTACACCTGATCAGATTCTGGTTCACACTTACCCTATAGTATCATAACATCGTGTTCTACACCTGATCAGATTCTGGTTCACACTTACCCTGTAGTATCATAACATTGTGTTCTACACCTGATCAGATTCTGGTTCACACTTACCCTGTAGTATCATAACATCATGTTCTACACCTGATCAGATTCTGGTTCACACTTACCCTATAGTATCATAACATGATGTTCTACACCTGATCAGATTCTGGTTCACACTTACCCTATAGTATCATAACATCATGTTCCACACCTGATCAGATTCTAGGATTGGAATAAGGGCATTAATATCTTATATATAGATGATAAATGAAATGATTGAGATGATAGATTTAAATTAGACTCTCTAATTGCTTAGTAAACATTAGTATAGTTTTGTTTACAGGTGTAAACAGTAATCTTGATGAGTTAGAGATCTGGATTTTCTGGGTTTAGAAATTTATTTTTCACAAAAGCTTGAAAAGAAAGGTGAACAATATTTTTACAAAAAACGACGGTGTTTGTAAATACAATGTCAAATTTTTTTCAAATTGAAAAAAATGCAGTGCTTGTACTGATGTTTAATGTTACAGGAGGTAGAACACTGTAACACCATAAGAGAATTTCCTTTTATATTTGATGTAACCAAATATTGAAGACTGTTGGGGATATAAGAATAATACATTCATATATGTTAGTATCATTGATGTGAACTGTTATTCCAATATTTGAGGAGTTTAATGACTGGACCACTGCACAAGGATAGACACAAAAGTCTAGTTTTAGAGCAATGATTTTAGTGTGATAGGGTACCAGTTCCAACAACTACCAGTTCTTAATTGGGCAGGTGTATATTTCTTTTTTATCTTTACCAACATCAAGAAATATTTTAAAATTTAATTTTTTTTCAATGATACATTGAAAAGAGTGAATTTTAATGGTATGAATTGTTTTTGTCTTTAGATTTATTGATTTTAATTAAATTTATTTTTTTATACTGTCTTACATATGGATCTTACCTGATAGATAGCTGGACCGAATGTTTTATTGTGCAATGATATCATTAATGATATCTTAGTTTTAAATAATTTTACAACAATAAAGATAACTGCATAACCCATATAGACAACTTGTTGTTAGTTTTTATATCCTGCAAAACAAAAAACAAAAAACAAATCTAGTGTACTAACATAAGTCTTCAGTCAAACCAAACACAAATATAATGAAAGTAGGGCAAATAATGTACAAAAGAAACATCTACAGTATATTCCTGAAAAAGTACAAGGTGAATAAGACCAGGTGTTCAGGAAGAGTAAGTATTTTCTGCTTCACCAACGACACCCACCATATAAACCATGGTCAATCCATTTAAGCAATGTCACATTATTTAATGTATTGTGCTTGGCGCTTTCACTGACATTACTTGGATTGGCCAAGGTTTACATAAGACACTTATAATTTCATTTCACATACTTATTCAAGTCTTTGTTTAGTTGATATTTGGTTATCATCATATTGTGGCTGTTCAAATTGCCTTTCGTCTTGGTTTGAAGTCCAATTTCCCCCTGTACGAACACAATAATCATTGTTTATTATTTCCTAAATTTCAAACAGGTTTCCCCTAGGTACCTGGTCAATTGTATATCTTTAGCACAGATCAAACATTACAATAATTTTATACTGCATTTTTATGGATCATTCTCAAACTTCAAACGTTTTGTGTTGGTTCTAACAATCCCTTATTTTATAATTATCTTTTTCATTTTCCTATTTTATAGCCATCATGTTTCATCCATTGTGTTTCATCCTTCATCTTGGAGCCATGTGATGTCTGCCATCCCCTATCGCCATGCATAAGCTTTCCATTTAAATGACTCCTTCTCAAAACCAATAGGCCAAATATGGTTATGTCGGGCCTATAGTATGAGGGGATAAAGGGCTACCAAGTTTCTTAAAATGAATGACCTTGGGTCAAATACATGTATGTTCAAATGTTTCAATGACTTCTTCTCAATAACCAAAAGGCATAATGAGCTGATATTAGGCCTAAGGTATGCAAAGGATGAAGGGCTACCAAGTTTGTCAACATAAATGACCTTGACCCGCTTTCAAGGTCACAGAGGTCAAATATGTTAAAATGTTTCAATGACTACTTTTCAATAACCAAAAGGCCAAGGATGATTATATTAGGCCTGTAGCATGCCTAAATGAAGGGCTATCAAGTTTGTTAATATTAATGACCTTGACCTCTTCAAGGTCACCTGTGTCAAATGTGTTTATATATTTCGATGACTTCTCAATAACTTAAGGTACAGGGTGCTAATATTGGGCCTGTAGCATATTTGGATGAAGTGCTACGAAGTTTGTTAATATAAATGTCCTTGGCCCACTTTCCAAGTCACGGGGTCAAACGTGTTAAAATGTTTAAACGACACCTCAATAACCAAATGGCTCAGGGTGCTGATATTACGCCTGTGGCTTACTTAGGGATAAGAGGTTATTGAATATGAATGATCTTGACCTACTTTAAAAGCAACAGGTGTCAAATATGTCAAAATCATAAACAACATCTTCTCAATAACCAAAAGGTCCATATTACTGGTATTAGGCCGTTAGCATGCTGGGATGAAGGGATGAAGTTTGTTAAAATGAATTAACTTGACCCACAAGGGAATGTTACGGGTAAACAGCCAAAGGGCCAAAGGTCTTGATATTGTGCATGTACCATTTTTCAACAAGCAATATGGCCGGAGTAATGGCATTTGCATGAACCAACCAATGATTGCTATTTAAGCTGAAGTGTAGTTGAGCTAGTTATTTTAGGCCTATTTTGTCTCTATCATATATAGGTATTTATAGTCAGATGACCCTTCAGGCCTCAAGGGTGTTAGGCCTGACAAAAAATGGGCCAAATTGACTGAAATCCCAGTTATGGTAGAATCAAGAACTCTTCGTGGATGGAAAGGCCTTCAGATGCCTTACCAAAATTGTAAATTTCATGACTCCAGAATCTCGCATTTCCTCCAGGGCAGTTTATATAAGAAAATCACAATTTTGAACATTATTTGTATATTTTCTATTGGAAATCGTTTCAGACCTGGTTAGAATTATTAGTTTAAGATGACAGTTTAATGAGATGCACATATTGACCTCGGCTGACCCCCAGAGGCTGTTTGGCGGGGTCAAAAATGGCGGTTTGATGCCATCCACATTGACCTTAACTGACTCCCACGGGCTGATGTGAGGTTCCAAAAGTGGGTTAAATTGACTGAAATTACAAAGATGTTCTAACTTTACTTGATGGACGATTTTCTTTAGGAACATTCCAATCTTTACTGTAATTTCTTTTTATTCAAACTTGGTTAGAAGCCTAAGATGGGACAGCAGTTAATGTATACACAATTTACATTTGTATAATGTGTACAATCAAGTTGAAGTCATATTACTTATTCACAAAATCGTTTCTATGACATGTTACAAAAAGTGTTGTGACCCAGAAGACCGTTAAGGCCCTTGGACCTCTTGTTATTTTAAATATTAAAGTTTGTTATCAAGGAAATATTCTCAAAAACTGCGATATGCAGGTGGACGTGTTTTATGTTCGTTAGTACACCTGGCCGTGCCGCTAACGTTTACCTTGTTCTCATTTGAAAACGTGTCTTACATGTCGGGTGTCGTCGCTTACTCTTCCGGAACATTTGACCTTATTCGCCTTGTACATTATCAGGAGCATCCGTGTAAATCTTTCTTTTGTTCATATTTTCTCCAAATTCCATACAAAGGTTCCCCACGGTCCCTAAATGTGCATTGTCTATTGATAGCACATCTATGTAAATCACAATGGCTGACAATCGGTCTTTTGGCAAGTGCTATTTCAACATCAATAAGGATGCAATCAATTATGACGTTAAGTATGGCAAGTACTCGAATTTAATTAAATACTGTGACATTATTTAATTTTCGTGATTTTGTTTAATTCCGTTGATATTTTGGGTACTCTAGATCTATAAATTCGTATGTCTACGAAATGATGGAATAAGTATAAATAGCCTTTTTAATGGCATATTTATATACTTAATCAAGCGTCCATGAAAAATTTTGTTTTAAATTCACGAAAATTAATTTTACAGTAAATGATAGCTTAACTGAAGGTATCATGAGGTCATTATCAACAACAACAAACAACTTGAAAAAACCAACAACATCAAGATTAGAAAATTTTATGAACAGACTGACACGATCCCAACAACGGGAGCAACGATAAAGTAAGGAAAATAATCTCGGGGTCCAGAACAGCTTCAAAGGTCAATCCAACAGGTTCATAGGTAAATCCAACAGGTGGAGCGTGCGTTCTGTAAGTATAAACATCATTTCTATGCATTATTTGTGAAATATATATAATATGGAGTGTTTAGCCTTTCTGTATGTCAGTGATATGAAAAAAAAAACATGTGCAAAAATACGAAACATATGTGATATTTGTCCATGTCTGATGTGTATGGTTCCTGGGTTTGAGATAAGATAAAGTAATGGATGATATTTGACACGAATCTCGGGTAGAAAACTCGTCTAGAAAGTTACGAAGTACTGATGCCAATATCTTAATATTGCAGCTTAATTCAGTTTTTAACTTTACTGTATCTAACTCTAAATTCATACTGAAAGGTGTTGCTGTTTTTCCTTTCCGTGTTTTTACAAAATTTGTCAACAATAAACGAGTCCAAATCGTCTTGTTTCCTTGAATGAAAAAAAAATCGTGCAATAAAAAGATTCGATGATTTTTGTTTCGTTTTCTGTTTTGTTTCCTAATCTTGTTTATACGTACCAGTAGTTTATATTCCGCCGTAAACCCCGTCCGCTGTGGAAAAGTTCAAAATTCAGAAAAATGACTTGTTATATAAACTGCATTTTTTCAATGGTGAAGAGAGCAGATAACAGTGATAATAATAAGTATTTACATTTCAAAATTTAAAACAATCAATAATTATGATTTATTATCGATATCAACATGTGATATATGTCACACAAAGGTGAAATATAAAGTTTATGACAATTTGACAAGTTTTGTTGTGAGGGACACAGAAAATTACAATGTGAAAATTACTGTTTAAAGAAGAAAAAGAGCAAGAAATATTATTTAAAATTTCTGAAAGTAAAATCTACCAATAAATTCGGTTAATTACCGGACAAAATCTACCACAAAGGCAACTTTGGAACAGAATGTACCATAACCTCAACCCATAGACAAAATCTACCACGGCGTCAACAGGGACAAAATCTATCACGGCGTCAACAGGGACAAAATCTACCACGGCGTCAACAGGGACAAAATCTATCACGGCGTCAACAGGGACAAAATCTACCACGGCGTCAACCAGAAAATAAAATTTACTACGGCGTCAACATGGTCAAAATCTACCACGGCGTCAACCAGAAAATAAAATTTACTACGGCGTCAACATGGTCAAAATCTACCACGGCGTCAACCAGAAAATAAAATTTACTACGGCGTCAACAGGGACAAAATCTACCACGGCGTCAACAGGGACAAAATCTACCACGGCGTCAACAGGGACAAAATCTACCACGGCGTCAACAGGGACAAAATCTATCACGGCGTCAACAGGGACAAAATCTACCACGGCGTCAACAGGGACAAAATCTACCACGGCGTCAACAGGGACAAAATCTACCACGGCGTCAACAGGGACAAAATCTACCACGGCGTCAACCAGAAAATAAAATTTACTACGGCGTCAACAGGGACAAAATCTACCACGGCGTCAACAGGGACAAAATCGACTTAAGTCACAACACAAGAACAAAATGTAAAAGTGGCAATGCTTTTAAAAAATAATCCCTAGAACTGATATCCTTCTGGCTGTATACTTATGTTTTATTATTTTAATCTAATTTAATTATTTTGATGTGACGTCATAGAATTGCTGCGGCAAGGGAATCCCTCGTCGCTACATAATGTTATGAGAAGAAAATCTCAGAACACCCGTCTATCTTTCGTGGCATTCTCCTATTAACAAAATTTGCTGCAAAGTCAATACAAATACACCATGTAACATTAAGGCTTACCAAAACATACCATAAACAGTACATGC